TGTCAGGGTAGTCGAACAGGGTGGCAATCAGTTATAAAAATAACGTAAAGTATGATCGTAGTACACTTGATGTGGTGGATTATCTATGTAGCTACTGAGACACTGGCAAATTTGGGCTCGTTTTGTCACTTCTTGAATCTGCACAAAAGTGAGGGACCTACGCTTCAGTATACAGCTATTACCAAAAAAATTTTCGTGAATAAGAAGAACCATGATGCACAAACCAACAAACATTGTAGGTCCTCTCTTTTTGAAGGCATTATGTGAAGAAACATGCTACATAGCAGGAGTTAACCCTTTGTCACCAGGCTTTAGGATATTGGTTATTGCTGTATCTCTTAATCTCATGCTTTATCATTTTATTTTAAAATATGTTACCTCATCAGACAGTAACATAATGTAGCTCAGTCAGTTGTGACTGGCTATGGACTAGACTACCAGGGTTCAATCCCTGACAGGAGCAGAGGATTTTTCATCTAGCCCGTGTGTCCAGACTGGCTCTGGGGTCCATCATGCCTCCTGTTCAAAGGATACCAGGGCCCTATCCCAGGGGTAAAGCGCGGATAGGGCGTGATGCTGGCCACTCATCCCTATCTAGTGCCAAGGTTAAGAATTAGTAGGAGCTATACCTTCTCTCCCCCCAATCACGTACATGGCGTATAGCAGGACAGTTTTACTTTTACTTACCTCACCAGACAGTGGGCCAGTACTTGATTTTCAGAATAATAGCCTTGGTTAATCCCAGATATAAAAATGTAAATATATTAAGAAAACTGCATTAGTGCCAATGTAATTATTTTGTGTGTATTTTACAGGAAATTAAGGAACATATGAAGACATGTAGTAATGTGAAGCCCCTGAAGAGAGCGTATGAATCACTGTGTGTTGAACTTGACAAGTTGACTTCTGTTTCAAGTAACGATATAGGATAAAATACAAAAGAAGAGACCACCGCTGTAAAAGATTCTGTGTCACCTGTACATTTAGGAGTGAAGACTTTCTTCAAACTGTGATATCTCTTGGCTGAGAGGGTTCAGATACTTGAAACACTTTCCAACTACAGGCAGAACGATCTTTAAAAGTGCCATGAAAAACTAATCAATCCAATATGTAGAATTTTTGGTACAAAATTTAACTTGGTTTTGTCCATTATTTTTAAGTGTATTTTGGGTTTGAGACTTTCGCTGCGAGTACAATCAATAAAATCTTCTCGGGCAATCAGCCGCGTTAACTAGTTACCGACGTTTCGGGAACCGACATGCTCAGGTATTTTGGGGAAACACCAGGCAGTAAGCAGAGTCAAACAAACCGAGCGCTTGACTCCGCCCCATAACTCCTCGGGCCTGGGTCCGGACATGAGCGCTGGTCCCGAGCAAGCAGTTACATGGGCGACTCCCGAGGATCCAGTCACATCAGAACCCTGAAGATGGAGATGGTTTACTGTGGTGACCAGTTAATGCGGCTGATTTCCCGAGAAGATTTTATTGAGTGTTTTGGGTGTCGGTAATCTAAATAATATTTGAAACAGATTGTAATTTCCTCTCATCATTTGGAGGAATACTTGAAATTGTTATTGAATGATAAAAGTGATATGTGAAGACTGAAATTGTCGTTTGAATTTTGTTAATATGTTTGCTGAATGTTATCGTCCAATCTCTAGTGTCAGTATGAATACATTGTGAAAATAATGCAGGTATGGAATAAACAGTATGGAGGTAGAGAATTTGCAAAGTAGCCAGTTCAGTGCATTTGTTCCTTTTGTAATTGATGTCACTTTGTCACTGACTGTGTATGTTCTGGATTAAAAGTGTATTTTTTAAATGTGTCATTATAACATAAAAAGACCAACTATGTCAGTGTTGTGCAGCTTGATCAGTTTATATAAAATTTCAAATTTTAAAAGTGTGATAATTAATACATAATTTTTTTAACTAGTTTATTGAAGGTAATCTCATTGATTAGTGAACTTAATAAATACCAGTTAAAACATACAGGGTGCCGTACGGAATGTCATACCATTTAATTATCGCATTAAAACTATAATACGTATTGTAGTATCGATGTTCCAACTGTGCGAGTGAATGCTGTAGTTCGTGGAAATTCGATAGATGGCCGTAATGCGTAAACTTACGGCAAAGGATAAGGGGCGGAGGCTAGAGTTTGCATTGTGGGCAATGGAGAAAGAGGCCGTACTTCACAACACGTGGTTTCATGTGAACGGTGTTGTGAATAAACAAAACGTTCGATTCTGGGCGAGGGAACATCCTCACATACTGCACGAAAAAGAAAGTTATGCGGAAAAAGTTAATGTATGGGCCGCAATTTCGAGTCACGGAATCATTGGTCCATTTTTCTTCTATGAAACCGTTAACAAAGATCGATACAAAGACATGTTGGAAAACAGTTTTATCCCCCATCTCTTGGCAACAGGTCTCCCTATGCAAATACAGTGGTTCATGCAGGATGGAGCCCGTCCACACACTGCGAACGTGGTTTTTGATTTCCTGCACGAGATGTTTAATCTTCGTGTGATGTCGCATCGGTTTCCTGAATGTCATGAGGGCGGCAGAATGTGGCCGTCTCATAGCCCGGACATTAATCCGTGTGATTTCTTCTTGTGGGGTTTCTTCAAAGAGAAAGTGTACCAAAGGAGGCCAGAAAATGTAGTGCAGCTCAGAGTCCTCATAGTGCAGTTGTGCCGTGCGCTATTTGAAGACTTGTGTCGAAAAGTGGTGACGAACACAAGGGTTCATTTGCAAGAGGTCGTGGTCATATTGAACACGTTATTCATTCAGAACAATTTGCCAGGCTATAGTGATTAACTCTATACCAGTTATGTACTACTTTTATAAAAATAAAAATGTGTTATATGTAAAACAAATGGTATGACATTTCGTGCCTCACCCTGTATAAATCACCCACTGGTTATAATAAACACATATTCTCTTGTGGCAAATACAACTGTGAGTCCAGGTAATGTACATATGCAGTTGTTATCTACATCCATCAGTGATTCCCATTAATTACTGTAAATATTATTCATTCTTCACTGAAAATATAAGTGTAACTTGTGTAAATGTTAAAAACTGACAGCAGAAATGTAACAGGACAACAACGGATATTTTTAGATACTGCTCTTCTCACGTCTCCATTAAATATCAGCATTTTCATTCTGATATTTATTACCCGATATTGTTTTGTGATAACGAAGTTGCTGGGGAAGGATGTTTATGATTCTAAATGTATTCTTTTGAACTTTAACACCAGCATTGGTAATTAAAAACTATCTCTCTGGTAGCAGAACCCGCAAGTTCAACAATGACAATACCAAAGCCCGCCACCAGCCACAATCCTGAGCCAACTCCATCCATTTGCCATCCTCACAGCCCACCTCCCTAAGATCCATCTTGATGTTGACCTCCCATCTCCTCCTTGGTCTGCCCAGCGGTCGTTTTCCAGAAGGATTGCCTACCAAAATCCTGTATCCACCTCACCCCATGCATTCTCCATGTTCAGCCCATTGGAGCCTTCTAGATTTCACTATCTTCATTATGCGAGGTGACTCATACAATTCACGCAGCTTCTCATTATGCAGTATTCTAAATTCCCCACTTATTTTATCACTTCTAGGTCCAAATAGCCTCCTGAGCACCGTTTTCAAACTCTTGTAATCTACGTTCTTCCTTCAAAGTAGGAGACCGTGTTTCACAACCATACAAGACAACCGGCAAAATTATTGTTTTATATATCCTGATCTTCAGTGTTTTGGATAGTAAACGAGATGATAACAGTTTTTGAATTGAATAAAGAGAAGCGTTCTCCGAATGTATTCTACTCTTAATTTCATCATGTACCTCATTTCTCTTTGATATTGTTGTTCCCAGATACTCAAATTTTGAAACATTTTCAAATGATGTGTTACTTATAATTATGTTCTGCCATTCTTGATGATGTTTATCTTGTATTACGCCCTGTATTTAGTTCTGTCTACATTTACTTCTAGTCCTATTTCCTTGCTAGCCTGGAGAAGAGTTTCTGCATTCTTGGTTATGGTACCCACACCATCACCCAGCAAATTGACGTCATCAGCATAAGCAAGTACCTGGTGCACACCATTCAGTTCGAGCCCTTCCTGATTCCCTCTGACCTTCCCGATGGCATGTTCTAGAGCAAAATTAAAAAGCATTGGGGATAAAGCGTCCTCCTGTTTGAAGCCATTGTGCATTGGGAGCGCATCCGACAGAAGGTTACCTGTACAAACTCTACTAGATACCCTGTCCATACACATCTTAATTAACCTAACAAGTTTCTTTGGTATTCCAAACTCAATCAAAATGCCATACAGTACCTCTCTTCTGACTGAGTCATACGCCTTCCTAAAGTCCACAAATGATTTATGAACTGACCCATTATACTCCCACTTTTTCTCTAATATTTGTCGAATGAAAAAGATCTGATCAGTAGTTGACCTATTACGGCAGAATCCGTATTGATTGTCCCCAATAGTTTCATTCATAAGTAGCGTTAACCATGCCAGAAGAATATTCAATGAAATTTTGTATGACGACAACAGAGAGACATCAGAAGTTACTGCACTTAGTCTCCTGTTTTATGGATAGGGGGAACAATTAATTCTTTCCACTGTTGTGGTAGTACTTCCTGGTTCCAAATTGAGACTGTAAGCTTTTGTATCTCTGAGTGCAGTCTCCTACCACCTGCATGAATTAATTCAACTGGAATTGAGTTGATGCCTGGAGATTTATAACGCTTTACTTTCCCAATGGCACTTTCAACTTCAATAAGCCACTGTTCAGGGATGAAGGGCTCTGCTGTGTACTTCAGGCTCATGAACTTCGTGAACGTCTAGTAACTTACTTAAGTAATCTTTCCATCTGTCTACAATGCCATGTGAGTCCGCAAGCAGATCCCCATTCTCATCCTTGATCAAATGTATCCTAGGTTTGTACCCCTTCTAGAATTCACTTATGCGTCTATACAACTTTGATGTTTTTATTTTTGCTATTAGTTTCCACTTCCCCTATCTGAACTTTGAGATACTCCCTCTTCTTATTACTATAAGTTCTGCTGGTTTTGCACCTTACACTGACGTATCTTTCTCTGTTTATTTGAATATTGGCCTGCAGCCGCTGCACTCTAACCTTCTTTACTCCGTCTTACCAAGATATAGCAATCTTCATCAAACCATGCTTTATTTCACAAAAATTTTTGATAACTACACTCTCCTCAGCTGAAATGTTCATGTTATCCCGCATATTTTCCCAGGCCTTGTTGATGTCTGTTATGAACACAATACTAAAGACTTTAATTGGTAATTAAAAACATGTGCATTAATTAGGTCACTACTGCTGAGTGTATGCCACTTTTGATCCAAGTATCCCACAATATGAGGAGTAAAATTCTGCATTAGAAGGGGCCAGAAATATATTTTGTGCCTCAAGATTAAATAACAATAAAAGTAACATTAACAACTGCTTGACATGAGTGAGCTGTTCAGAGGTTGGTACTAAAAGGGCCAGTATCTGTTTTCATTTTTATATAACATATTTGTGGTGATTTATCTAACAACATTGGTCCAATCGCAGTGTCATAGTTTTCAATAATTGATAATCATTTTGGCTTTTATTTTATGAC